TGGTATACACATGAGTCTGTTTTCCTTCCTTCTTTGGATCTACTAAGAACAAGGGGACAGTAACACAGCAGGAGAGGCAATTGAACCAAGCCTGTTTTATCGTTATACAACTTAAAGTTGCTATAAGAGTAAACTAATTAACAAATGAAGATATTGAGGGGTCGTTTGCTCTATCCCGCTGTGTTGCTGTCTTCTAGCCGAGTGTTTAACAAGTTCTCTGTGATGGAAATGACGGAGTCTATAGTCGTGTGCAGCTACAGGTTACACACCACCAAATGTTTTCCCATAGACTTCTATAGTAACCTTATATTTTTTTTAAAAATATCCAGGCTATCAACAGCCATTCCATGTACACATGGGTACACTCTGGCCCTTAAACTACCATAAAACAAAATATCAGGCCAACTTGTCCGGCTCGTTTTGCGAGCACAGGAAGCGGAACACATCAACCCCAGTTCCGCACCAAATGTCACCTACTGGAAAATATATGTACACACAATAAGCATAAGTGATGGTGATAAAAATGACAGCACTAAATACTTAAAATTGTGGTCAGTTTTAATTACTGGTTGGATGTGCTTTTAAAAAACAAACATCTTACACTCTTTCATCCAATCACAGCTGTCACATGTCTCTGTCTCTCTACACTTGTTTACATACGGCTCTCGCGCAGGAGCGTGTGATACTGATTTAGTGTAGTGGAACCTATAGCTACAAACCTGATGTCGGAAGTCTAGATATTTTACGATGGCTTCACTTACTATAAGTTACGTGCACAGGTGAATGATCGAGAGTGGTCTCCCTTCACTCTTTGTGGCTGCTGAAGCGTCACCTCGTCGTTAGTGAGTGAGTCGGATTTTACGCCGCTTGTAGCTATATTCCAGCTGTATCACGGCGGGGGACACCAGAAATGGGGAATCGAACACGTCCCTTCCCCAGGATGAACGAACGCTTTGACCACAAGGCTACCCTACCACCCCACCTCGTCTTTAGATATTTGTACATATTCTAAGACTGAAAGAGGGCTTGTGCTCCTCGTCTAGTGGTCATTTTCAACCCAGGTAATAGACGTATACTTTCCGGTCTTGTATGATGTTGGGACATTTATGGTGCTCATTACGTTCCTGATAAATATACCCGTGAAGATCCGGGTTAGAAGTGTTCTTCAGCAACTCATTCTTGTCGTAAGAGGCGACTAACGGGATCGGGTGGTCAGGCTCGCTGACTTGGTTGACACATGTCATCGTATCCCAAATGCGTAGATCGATGCTCATGATGTTGATCACTGGATTATCTGGTCCAGACTCGATTATTTATAGACCGCCGCCATATAGCTTGAATATTGCTGAGTGCGGCGTTAAACAACCAACCAACCCTGATAGATATAGGCTACAATATTGGATGAAGAAAACATAGTGGTGTTTGAGAAACGTTAACCAAACCCACAAATACAGTCATTTTGACTAGGTCTAGACTCCCCTTGATATTTTAGACACGGAAATCGCCATGACTTCAAAGTGAGTGAGTGTAGTTGGCTCTTAGCAACAGAATGGTTTTCACACGTTTTAGTTGGACACGTATCATCTGAAACATAAAGCGAGTACAGAAGAAGCACGTTACTTTTATGTCACGAGTGGAAATTAATATTGTGTGTAGCTGTATGCTGGACGGAACACAAACATGATTCAAACATGCAATATTTATTGTGATGATGATGACAATGATTGCTACTACTATTACTTTTACTTTTACTGTTTCTCCTACTACAAACTACCACCACTACTACCACTACCATTACTACTACTGCTACTACCACCACAACTACTGCTACCACTACCACCTGTCAGAACAGGTCGGTCATTACAAGCAACTGCAGGTTATCACGCGCTTTGCCTAACAATTAGACGCCTTGCCTTGGCATTCAGATGAGCGGGAATATGGATGGAATATTATGTAGCCGGGTTTAATTTCTTGATTGAATCGTGCACAAAATTAACAAACTGATCGCGCAAGCAGGTTAATGAGCTTTTAGTGTATTTGAAGGAAGGAATGGATGGACCGGTCTCTCTTATCCAGCTTGGTGTGGGCCGATGCACAAAGGGAGACCACTCTTGTCAGACTATTAGCGAGCGTTTATCAGCCAGATTTGACCCAGCCGAATTGCGTAGCTTAGCTTTCCGCAGCAATTAGTGCAGCTACCGACAACCTATAAATGTACACCACGAGCTACACACCAGCAGACGGTGCCCATATCGTATGAATGGACTTTGCCAGCAACTACTTACGTTCACCAGTTTGCCAGTTAAAACTCGGGGTCGAAACAAAGACAACATGCACTTCTTTTTATCACCGACGGAAACCATGGCAACGGCTGGCAAAGCAGGATGTGCTTCCTTATTTGTAGTCGTTTTCATGTTTGTTTACAGTTCTTTGGAAAGAAATGGTCCCTGTCGAGAAATCCTAACCTCTATATATACATTTTAACTTGGTGCAAATGACCTTAACGTATATCTTTCCATTATAACCGGCACTGCATGTGTAGCCTATAGACTGCAACTTCTCTTTCTGAGATAAACTTCTGTGAAATAACAGAAAAGGGAATCGGAAGACTTGGATATTTCTGCCTGAAAACGAACCCTCAACTTTCCACACTGGTATTGATATTTACAGGGCTTTATAGAATTGACTGCATGTTTTCAAGAACTAACAGACACGACGTGGTAGTGAACTACAGTATATCCGACGTTGGGACATATAGGCATTGATTTAAAAGTTATAAATCGTCAGGTATTTGATACCATGAGAAGCAGCTATAGCTGGCTGTTTGACGTTGCCGGAAACATTCGATGACGCCTCGTTCTGACTTCGTCTCCATGTAGTTACCGTTGTCCTTGCCAACGGTCCCCTCTGTTTTTAACAGAATCGCCATTGCTCTTACTACCTATCGCTCTGCATTTCGTTGACTCATAATGTGTGAATGTGAAAGAATGCGCTCTTTATGTTTGAAGAGAGTGAGAGAGAGAGAGAGAGAGAGAGAGAGAGAGAGAGAGAGAGAGAGAGAGTGTGTGTGTGCGGGTGATATTCTTCTGTATCTGTGATGTACATGTGATTTGCATGCCTGTTCTGATGTGCATGTTTTCAGGTTGGCTGACACGTTTGGCTGCCCGTTTAATCCCCTATTATCCCATCTGCCCCTATTTGGTCTGTTTGGGCTACATTTTGGGGCTTTGTTTTGGACACACCCTTTCGATCAAGCATCTTTTGGCATACCCTTTGGCTGACATTTCTGAGTTTATTTCTCTTCTAATGAGAGGACCATTCTTCCCTTTTGGCCCCGATTCGGATACTTTCTTTAAGCACATGCCATTCTATTTCTTGATATATAATAAATATTAGTGAATGGTATACACATGAGTCTGTTTTCCTTCCTTCTTTGGATCTACTAAGAACAAGGGGACAGTAACACAGCAGGAGAGGCAATTGAACCAAGCCTGTTTTATCGTTATACAACTTAAAGTTGCTATAAGAGTAAACTAATTAACAAATGAAGATATTGAGGGGTCGTTTGCTCTATCCCGCTGTGTTGCTGTCTTCTAGCCGAGTGTTTAACAAGTTCTCTGTGATGGAAATGACGGAGTCTATAGTCGTGTGCAGCTACAGGTTACACACCACCAAATGTTTTCCCATAGACTTCTATAGTAACCTTATATTTTTTTAAAAATATCCAGGCTATCAACAGCCATTCCATGTACACATGGGTACACTCTGGCCCTTAAACTACCATAAAACAAAATATCAGGCCAACTTGTCCGGCTCGTTTTGCGAGCACAGGAAGCGGAACACATCAACCCCAGTTCCGCACCAAATGTCACCTACTGGAAAATATATGTACACACAATAATAAGCATAAGTGATGGTGATAAAAATGACAGCACTAAATACTTAAAATTGTGGTCAGTTTTAATTACTGGTTGGATGTGCTTTTAAAAAACAAACATCTTACACTCTTTCATCCAATCACAGCTGTCACATGTCTCTGTCTCTCTACACTTGTTTACATACGGCTCTCGCGCAGGGAGCGTGTGATACTGATTTAGTGTAGTGGAACCTATAGCTACAAACCTGATGTCGGAAGTCTAGATATTTTACGATGGCTTCACTTACTATAAGTTACGTGCACAGGTGAATGATCGAGAGTGGTCTCCCTTCACTCTTTGTGGCTGTTGAAGCGTCACCTCGTCTTTAGTGAGTGAGTCGGATTTTACGCCGCTTGCAGCAATAATTCACCGCTGTCTTCGAATGATCGAGAGTGGTCTCCCTTCACACTTTGTAACTGTTTAACCGTCACTTCGTCTTTAGTGAGTGAGTCGGATTTTACGCCGGTTTTAGCAATTATTCAGCTGTATCACGGCGGGGGACACCAGAAATGGGCTTCACCCATTTGAGGAATCGAACCCGGCCCTTCCGCAAGATGAACGAAAGCTTTAACCACAATTCTACCCTACCGCCCCCACCTCGTCTTTAAATATTTGTACATATTCTAAGACCGAAAGAGGGGTTGTGCTCCTCGTCAAGTGGTCATTTTCAACCCAGGTAACAGACGTAATGGTTCGGTTCTTGTATGATACTGGGACAGTTATGGTGCTCATTACGTTCCTGATAGATATACCCGTGAAGATCCGGGTTAGAAGTGTTCTTCAGGAAGCCAAGCTTGTTGTAAGAGGTGACTAACGGGATCAGGTGGTCTTACTCACTGACTTGGTTGACACATGTCATCGTATGCCAAATGTGTAGATTGATGCTCATGATGTTGATTACTGGATTGTCTGGTCCAGACCACCGTCACATAGCTGTAATATTGCGCGTGGCGTTAAACAAGAAACACAATCTTATCATAAGGGAATCCCTAGAGCTCAAATCAGTTTGTTTGTACCTATTCAGAACAGACAACAGCTGTTGTCCTTAGAAACTCAGATAACATGACCTGTCTTCTTCGGGCTTCCAGCATATAACAGTATCTTACAACCATAATATAAGACAGCATGGTGCCTGTGTTGAAGAGATTGCTCTTTTTTACTTCGATTCAATATGGCTGCTACGGACTTCCGATCGATCAACAGGCAACCTTGGAGACGAAAAACTTGTACAGCAATCTACTGAAGCTGTCACGTGATGGCAGCAGGTTCGTGTTTGGGATGCAGGGATCGACACAGTGGGGGGAATATGGCGGCCACTCGCCATACCACGTTTACCAGAATGGAAATACCAAAGGATGGGCCTTCACCGTGAGTTGACGACTATTTGTTATTCCGTTCGTGTCATTCAGGAGAAACGCGAATGCTGACGCAAAGACGCGAATGGTGACGAAAGAGTTAACATTTCAACAATTCCGGACTGACAACCGTATTTACTAAAACTGTCAACCGTATTTACAAAGATAATTTGATGAAAGTAGAGAAGTCTATAGCCTAAAATTGCTAATGGATGGTTGCCTACCTGTTTATGAAAATTTATTTTACATTGTTATTTATTTTGTTTTGTATTTACAAGAGTCAACAGGCACACGATAAGGATAACGATGACCTTTGTGACGTCTGCTCAATCACGAACCAACATCCGGGCATCATGGGTATGGACTTCCGGGATCTAACACCCTATTACCTTGACACCGTGACATATCTTGCCCACAAAGCCTACGCTCGAGGAGAAGTTATTACCTTTTCATGGCACCATAGTAACCCAGTAACGGGAGGAAAGTTCTACATTGCGGACGACCACGGAGACGTGGCCCACACCATCCAGAAACTTCTCCCCGGTGGCCCGAATAACGTTAACTTGACGAAGAACCTGGACAAAATCGCTGACTGGGCGCTTAAGTTTAAAGATCCTCAAGGGAAGCTTATTCCTGTCATATTCCGTCCCTACCATGAGATGAATGGTAGATGGTTCTTCTGGGGGATGGGAAATGCAGCCCACAACACCCCGGACGAGTATAAGCAACTCTGGCAGTTCCTTGTCCGTTACCTCCGTGATGTCAAACACGTCCACAACTTCCTCTACGCGTACAGTCCCGGTTCGGTGATAGATAACCATGAATACATGCTCACCTACCCTGGTGACGACTACGTCGACGTACTTGGTCTCGACTACTACTATACCGGTTCGACTTCAAGAAACCCCACAGATCTTATCGCTAAAATCGAGAGCGTTGTTGATGTGGCACAGAGGAGGAATAAGATAGCGGCTGTGACTGAGTTCGGATCTAACAACCCAAGTGTAGATAACCATCCCAATTTATGGATGGATCTGGTCCTCAAGCCCATGAAAGAGAGTAAGACAGCTCTAGGCATTGCGTACTTATCTACGTGGATTAACAGGTGTTCGGGTGACCGGAAGTGCGGTCATCCCTATACGCCATATAAGGGACATCCCGCAGCAGACGACTTCCTGAAGTTCTTCAATGACCCTGCCACTCTGTGGGAAAAGAACATGCCAAATATGTACTCCTCGTGAAATAAATACATTCTGCTTAATAATGAATATGTAAACATGTTGAACAAGATGAACAAGTTTGCATAATTTCAATCATTAAAGAGGTAATTAAGTGATAATTATTATCAAACTAGAAAAGTTAAAACGCATTCCAGATTTAAGAGCTGACATAATGATGGATCTAAAGCCATATAAAATGGTAACAGTGTGTACTTAAAAGTGTGCCATTTCAATGTGTTAAATTCATTTTCCTAAACTTAGGTATGAAACTCTATCATTACCAAACTGGTCTGTGTTTACAGTAACACTTACACTGTTTTACTTACTCACTGGTAAGCTAGTAGCATCAGCTAGCTTGGGGTCTAAGTTAAGATCTGTGTCAGGTTCAATCTTTGCCTTGGACTGTTGTCAAGGTTCCTATTGTTTCATAGATTTCAGCTATCGCCGACCTTCTTGTCATATTTAAAGCTTTCTACTGCCTTTCACTCGTGGCAGTTTGCATCTTTCTCCTTGAGAATCACAGCACAACACCAGCACATTATGAGGTAAGTTAAGTTAGATGTTTTAAGGATTGACTGTGTATTTCTTTCGTTGCATTGAGGTATGAAACTAAAAACCAATGTGCAAACTGTATGAATCCGCGTAGCACATTGGTTTTTAGTTTCATACCTCAATGCAACGAAAGAAATACACAGTCAATCCTTATAATTAAATTATTTCCGTACTTGGAATCGGCCATCTTGTTGGAATGTAAACAAGCCATGTTGTACATTGTACTTTAATTTAGCATCAAGCATATCATTTGCAGACTTAAACTGCTTATCTCTTACAATGTCAATATCTCTCCCGATATCATTTAAGTGTCTTTTCAGGGCAGAACGAACATTTTTTAAAGTGGTCTTGTGATACTCGGCAGCATGTGCAGCCGGCATATTTTCACATCTTGTTTCCTGTGCCTCAGTGTAGAAAAATCTCAACTTTGTGTTAAGTTCCTCTCTTGTAATTGTTGAAAAATCCACAGTCCTCCCCTCGCTCTCGAACGACCAATCTAAATAAACAGAAGGAAAACAATATCTAGAAACCTGACTAAGACAGACCCAACTATGTAAACTTTGAACTAGGTAACTTTATAGCAAATCATTTTTCTCGGTTAGATCTACATAATTTAATCTCATTCTGATAATTGTTCCATTTTTAAAAATACAACTTTGTGCTGATGAACTGTGTTTCGTTTTGAGAAAATATACGTAGGATGGAATTTGAAAATAACATTTATATGAATTGTGTATATCTACCTTGGAATAGTTTAACACCCCATTTTGTGTTTCTTTTTGTGGATGTTGATTGTCTGTAGTCGTCCATTCGAAGTAAATCATTATTTGATAAACGTTTGAAACGATGTGTTTGGGATGGCTTATCATCGACTTGCATTGCACACGTCATCTCGTGATATGCCGATGTTTTTGTAGATCTGGTTGATGCTGTTATCTCTAACAAACTTTCAATTTCTTCCAGGTCTAAATCATCCGGAAAATCAATGTTATCCGTGCTAAGAGTTGCAACGTTTCCGGTAGATTGATCTTCGAAAATCGACTCAAAATTCCCCAGATCAAAACGTCCGTACTTGGAATCGTCCATCTTGTTCGAATGTAAACAAGACAAGTTACAGACGACTGTTCGCTGACTGCACGTGATAACCACAGTAACCAGTCAAATTATGTATTATGACAAACACTTTTTTATTAAATAAACACTTTATTAACGTTCACGGATAATTTTGAGTTGTTTGTTTACGTTAACCACAATGTATCGCTTCAATGTTTATCCAAAGTTCATTAAGGTACCCGAGTGCAAGGGAATTCCGTCGCTGTGTAAAGGTATTCCCCGACATTCCTCAGGTCCGAAAGTAGTCCGGTTCGGTGGGCGTGGCTTACTTTTTTAGATTCATTGGGAAATGAAATCAAAAGAAATGTTCCCAGTTAACCAATCAGATTGCCAGAATTTTAATGAACACAATAAAAATTTAATTATTTAGTATTATATGTATAGTAGGGCTATTAGGATTTAGTGTGTTAGATTACATGTTTTAAGGAATAGTGTTTTATCATAGTTAGTGTATGTTAGGTGTTTGTCTATAAAAATATAACTTATATGCATCGTTAGTATTTAAGACAAATACATGATGTATTGTCTACCAGCACACTAGTATACTGGTATGAGTTTATTTGTACAGTAGGGTATTTTGTACCACCATGATACTGTAATTTGTATCATGTATACGTAGCATGTATCTGTATGGCTATGGCTGTATTAGCTATTTCATGACTGGCGTGATGCAGTAATGTGTACCATGCAGGTTTATTATAAGGTTTAGTTTATATATGCAAATTTATGTATATTAGGGTCAATAAGGTCAGTACGTATGTCTACGACATAACTAGTGTATATTGTGTTTGTCATGTTATATACATGATATGGGTATGTTTATCTGGCAGTTATTAGATAAGTATTAATAGTATAGTGGCATGGTCACTATCGTAGCTATATATTAACGTAATTGAATGTGTAACATGATATGTATTGCATATATGAGAGACGTGTATTAATTAATGTATATTTTATCATTCAGGGCGTTTTGTATTGTTTATTTATCTGGACTGAGAGCCAGCTGGAGATCTCGATATCCACGCCACCAATTCCTAAATAAATCCCTGTCAATCCTGCATAAGTGTTTGTCATCATTGATCTACCATCGACGTCTGAAGATAACGCGCCGTGTATGTGACGTAGCACATAAGCTCCATCCACCCATGAATATTCTACACTTACTTAAGACCATTGTAGGTTTAAGGGCAGCACAGACGTCTACCTCTGTTACAAAACTACTGGACCACCGATAGCCTACATCTTTCAATAAAGTAACGGTTATTTCATATACTATTAATGTGGGGTGGGAGTGGGGTGGGGGGTTAGGGGTGGGGTTGGGGGTTACACGCCGCTTTTAGCAATATTCCAATAAAATCTCACAACTATCTTTAATGAGATAAATAGTTTAACAGTGTAACTGGGAGATCTGACTGAGATTTGAATTAGAAGTCGAACGTCCGATGACCACAGATGATGGGCCAAAGTGCCCTACTGTTCATCACGTCACTTTCTATGTAAACTCAAAATCGTCAGTTTGGTTCCTTCCTCCGAAAGCCTTATGCTGCCGCATTTGTAGCATAACAAAAAAATTCAGCGAAATTTCTCGCTGCTATTGTTATTTCAACTATTTTCTCGTTGCTTTGAGTACTACTACTTTCTTGTTGCTTCAAGATTCATTAAACACTTTAAAAAAATCGAGTATTCTCGTTGCTTTGTGTATTTTCTCGTTGGTTCGATTAATTTCTCGTTACTTCGAGTATTTTCTCTTTACCTCAAGTTTCTTTCGAAAACTTGAAATTTCGAATATTTGCTGCTTTTTTTTATAGTTGCTTCGAGTATGTTATCGTTACTTCAAGTTTCTTTAAAAACTTGAAATTTCGACTAATTTCTAGTTCATTCAAATATTTTCTCGCAACCTCAAGTTTCTTTCAAAAACTTGATATTTCGTTCTGATGAAACGGTCTTGTGCGCTAGTTATCGCCCCTAGTCGACCAGGTCAAGGTCTGTCATTAATGATGTTTGTCTATCAATATCGTGATTGTAATCTAATTACTGAATGTGAAATGTTAACAGCTGGTAACACGATGTTCTGCCTTGTCCCAGCTTCCGGTTGCTGACGCGACAGATGTCAAAACACGTATACCTGAGTTTAAAACAATTCCATAGTTCCATAAGAAAGCATCACAATTCTAGACGTGAAAACAACGGATGTGCGGGGATAGTTGTAATATTTGTGAAATGCCACTTACGTAAAACAGCATTTGGTTGTTTATCAAGCATAGTGCGACTTGCTACACCGACGTGAGAGTCGTATGAGCAAGGCGTGTGCAGCTACGCGCGGAATCAATTTCATCGTCATGTAATGCACGTGCACTAGCCTATATCTGCTCTACCTTTCACAAACCAAATGGGTGTGCTCATTGGGTACCGCTCATTTGCCGTGCACCGCCTACTTCTCGTAAACGCGTTATCTGCCTAATATGTAAATATTATCTTGATTACACAAATACGGAAGCATTCCTATTGCTTATCGCTGCTTCTAAACATCAGAGGGTCTGTCTTCGTTGTAGAATGATAACCAGGCGCGTAGCAAGCCACTATTTTCGTGTTAGCCCGATAGGTTGCAAAGCTTTATATTCAGATAGAATTGAGGGCTTGCCCAACTTTCATAGCAAAATCATGTGTAAGCCCGGTTTTTTTATAATGGCAGCTACGACCCAGGTAACACAAAGTTGAAGAATGTCAATTCCGGTTTGAAGTCTTGTATATTTCATGCAGGTGTTTGTTAGCAATATCACGCGGTGTATTTTAACCAATCGGCGTTCACTTCCGGTGCACGAGTTTTCCGTGCGCGTTCATTCGAGACCCTCTATTTGGCAGCAGAAGTCAACAATTGAAGAAAAGAACCGGTGAATGTCCATATTGTTCAAGGAAAGCGGTGAGAATTGTTTTAAAACCGAAATGAAAATGATCTTAGACATTAATTATTGATATTTCTGAAATATTTACAATTGCTTTAATTGACGTGCTTAAGAAAATAGCGATTACAGCGTGAACTTTGAAAGGTATCCAAAAAGTAACAATCTGAAAGTAATTCTTGGAAGTGCTGGGCAACGGAAAATTTGAAAATAACAATATTAAAGGTCTCTCAGGAATATGTCGTGAAACAATGTGTTTGTGCATACTAGACAAACTTTATGTACAATAACTTCATTATTTCGTGAGTGAGTTTCGATAAGATTCTTGTCAAGCAGGGAGACGTGGCACTCACGAAATAAAGAAGTTGTTATCCATAAAGTTTGCCTATTTTGTACTCCCCAGCTTCTAAAATGCCACTCAAACATGTTTGTGGTTATCTATGTAAAGTATATTCATAAATTCCTTATTTGCATTATTTTAATATTGGTAGAAGGAGAGTGAATATGGGTTTCAAAAGTACGCTAGGGATATAACCGACCAATTAGGGTGGGCGTCTGGGGATTCTTTGTTCCATGCTTGGATTACTGCAGCGTTGTACACGAAATAATACAGGTATACAACATGTGGAGGAAAAGGCATAGTTATGGAAATATACTGAATACTATTT